CTGAAACAGTAGGCAAAGAGTATGAATCCCATTTGAAATCCAGTGGCTGACTCCTGCAGAATTCTGGAGCTTGTAGTTTAGGAAAGGGGCCTTTAAAATGCTCAGTCAGAGAGGTCCTGGGTCTTATTAAACTACTATTTTCAGAATTCTGCAGGAGACAGCCACAGGATTTCAGATGGGATGCATTATCTTTGTCTACTCTTTCAGTTCTAGTGTGATACCAGCAATAACATAGTTCACCTTTACCAGCTTTCATGTAGGTTGTATGTCATTAGATACAGAATTTATATGGTCCAAAGATGTAGCAGCTCCACAATTTACATTCAGGCAAATTTAATAATATAATAAAACTTTATTTATATTCCACCTTATCTCCCTGAGGGGATTTAAGAATATGGCGAAATCTCCAAATAATTTCTCTTCATTTGTGTAAAAGGTTCCTCCATTATTTGTTAAAGTTCTTAATATAGCAAGTTTCTCCTTGAAATAGCCAATAAACAGCAAAATGCTTTTGGTAGATCCACACTCTTGACAATTCTAATGAAATTTGAACCACAAAACCCTGCTTTTTCCAAAGGATTATAGTAGGGTACCACATCTCTACTCAGAAGTAAGTCTTACTGAATCCATTGAAACCTTTTCCCCTGATCATTGTGTACAAAATTGCAGTTTTAATTATTTTCAATTGAATTTATTGCCAGGTATATAGAAGTGAAGCCCAGATATAGAATTCCTAGGTATAGATAATTTAGCATCAGTATATGTGTAAATCAGGAAAATATATCCATATATTCTTCAACATAACATCCAATACAAATATTCCTTCTAATAACATATCAATTCTTTGATTTTACAATTGATCTCACTCAGTGAGATTTTGTCCAGTCTCTCATCTTCTAGTTGCAGTGTATGCACAAACTATGAGATGACATGGTTTTTTAAATATGGAATTTCCATTGTTCTCCAAATCATATATTTGTTTCTTGCCATGGTACAGATGGAATCAAGGAAAAGTAAAGGAATTGGTTCGTGAAGCAAGTTCTGCATCTATGTCATTGTTCTGTATTATGCACCATTCATGGCGATGCATAATGAACTCTGTGCATTCATAACTTCTTACGGCAGTGGTTCTCAACCTGGGGTCCCCAGATGTTTTTGGCCAACAACTCCCAGAAATCCTAGCCATTTTACCAGCTGTTAGGATTTCTGGGAGTTGAAGGCCTCAACCGGGGGTCCCTCAATCTGGGGACCCCAGGTTGAGAACCACTGTCTTGTGGTATTTTGGAAAGGTGGTGATATTGCCTAGTGACACAAAAATGTCCTAAGTCACATTGTCCAAAGTACATTTGCAATATTTACTCATGCCATGGCTCTACTTCAGCTGATAGCACTAGTAGCCATGTCTCCTGCCATTACCCATATGCTTCAAAAGTGCAACATGTTCCCACCCAGAGGCAGAGAGCATTCACCTAGATAATTAACCACAGCCTCCTCTTGCCCAGAGCATAGGGATTCTGATTTGCTCTTGTTTTAAACCTTGAAGACATGCTGCAACACATTGTTGAAATGCCAGTAGGCCAGCCTCAAGGAAGATGAAATTTTGATATGAGTATTTGTATCATCCTTGGAATTCTTCGCCATAGTTTGACAAGATTCCTGTTTCTAAATATTTGAACATTCAAGCCTTAAATGTGACTGACTGTCTCAGGACTGTTTCCATCTCTGGTGCTGAGGAGGGATGTGTGTGTTTTTAATTTAAATTATCTCTTTTGAGGTTTGTGGGAGAAAAGAAAATATTTATCTTTTAGCTTATTGATATCAGCAGGCAGACTAGCTAGTCTCAGAAGGCTGGAAGGTTTATTGGTTAAGACGCAGGCACCCAGTTTGTGATAAAGAATTCTTTGCATTTTTCTTCAGTAAAGCAAACTGCTTGTAGGATATTGCTCAGAACTTAATCCTTTCAGAGCCGCATCTCAGTCAATCAGTTTTAAACCGCTGTCTGCTATTAAATAGTTAAGTCTTTCTCTTGCTCTACATGTTTTAGCTTCTATACACAGTACAAATACATAAATTTTATAGTAAATATAGAAATGAAACTAAACTATAGATAAACTTTTGGGGGAACAATTCAAATAGTCAAGGTTGATGACAGATTCATCTGCCTTCTTCATTAGGTTCACTTGTACCCATGACTGTCTCCATTGTATATGTGTGAAAGAGAAACCTTTCAGGTGGGCAGATAGGGAGGAAATGTATTATCTTGCTGGGTTTTTAAAGATGTTTTCTCATATATATTCATATAATTGAGCTACCTGATAAAAAATCAAGTACGTTATAGCACAGGAAGACAGAGTCATGCCTTCTGTGATGTCTCCCGAGATTAAATTGTTGCACAGATACATGCTGATTGTTCACAATAAAAGATCCATGTGATAGAACTGCAGTGAACCACATTATGATGCATGGCGTTTCAAATTATTGGGGAGTTCAGATGTGCAAGATGCGAGTACATTTCTACCTTTAATAGTGTCTGCTTAACTGTTAGACTTGTCGGGAGTCTGACCAACTGCTCCCCATAGTAGGCATCTGGAGAGAAAAGGTGTGTTTTTGCATTATATTACTACACTGAGATGATCCTTCTTAAAATTCTATGCAATAATAGTTGTACCCGGCCACGTGTTGCTGTAGCCTAGTCTGGTTAAATGGAAAAGAAAGAAAAGAGAAAGAATTGGTTTCTAATATATGTAATTTCATAATGTTTGTGGATATACATTTCTTTTGTTGTTCCATTGTCTGTGAAATAACAACAGCAACAACAGCAACAACAACAATAATAATGGTATAAATAATATTGATACTGGCCTATATAATCTATATAATAATTATACTGGTGTATATAATAATGATAATAATAACCATGATACTGGTCTATATAATAGTGATCAGTGTGTTTTGGGGAAACCCTTTCCTTTCCTTTCCTTTCCTCTTATCTATCTCTCCCTTCCTTCCTACCAGTCAATCCTTCCTTCCTTGCCTGCCTCCTACCCTCCCTTCCCTGGGCCGGTGCCTTGCCCTCTCCCTGGCCTGGATTTCCCTACCTGTCCCACTGCCCTTTTCACACTCTTCTTCCCCTGGTTCTGCTCTGGAAGGAGGCAGGCAGGCAAGCTCAGTGGGGGGCAACCAGGCTGTGGATCCCCAATGGTGGATCCAGCCCTAATGGGGTCACTTTGCAATGTGTTGCTTGGACATCCAGCAAATGGCACTGTTTTTGATGCCAAGCATGTTTTTACCTGTCAGAGATGTGACCGGTATATAAAGTAGGTATGTGAATACATAAAACGTTCATCTGTTTGAATGCTACGCTGTGTCCAAATGTCAAAGCAATCGGTGAAGTCTTTTGGGAGATTTGAATTCATTCACAAACATACAGTCACATTTTTATTTATATAGAGAGATAGAAGACTCTGCATGCCTTCCACCTTTGCACAGATAAAAACCAGTAATATATATGGTCAAGCAACTTTAGAGTGTGGTCAGGATGACAAACATCATTAATGAGAAGGAAACCAACTACTTTCTACTTTGAAATCAGTTTGCGTCAATTCATCAAAGGATAAAGGGGGAAAGTGGGAGAAGAAGATAGAAACTGGGGTATTTTTAAAATGGCTGAACAACTGGGATGACAGAGAATTAATTGAGGGCACCTCTCAAATTGGAATATTTGAAGTCATGAAACTCATCTGGGAAGCCTAACATCAATTTGTGTATTTTCAGGAGTTCAAGTTATTGATTGTTTAGTGCATTGTTGTGATAAATAAATTAGAAAACATTAAATCATATCGCATATTAAATATTATATCTTACTTCTCTGATAATGAAGAAATTTGTTCATCTTTTAAAGTCACAGCAAGCAACAGAGCTATTCAAGCTTTCCATGATGCATTAGGTTTGCAGTAATGCATAAGAATTTGTTTTTGTATTTGCTTTTGTTGCTAGAAAATGGAAAAACATAGTGTCTTTTGATAGATCATTTTGAAGCATTTTCTGTTTAATTTTGACAACACATGTTTTAAAATTGTTCACTGCTTTCAAAGTGTTTTTAACAGTTTGTGTTTGAAATCTTCAATTGCTGTTTTGTGTTGGGAGGAAAGTGGGAGATTAAATAAATACATTTAATGTATTGTATACTTATAAAATACTAGATGGCTTAATATGATCTTGATAAGCTCAAGCATTTAACTATGCATTGATTTATACAGCTTTTAAAAATATTCTTGATGTTGTTCATAAAGTTTAACTTTCTCCTGGTTACATATTGTACATTAGTGAGAGATATGGATAGTCAAACCAAATATGTATTCAAAGGCATAGCCATTAGGCTTGCTTGATAAAAAAAAAATGATTCAAATCCTGTTTGGGATGTAGGGGGTGCTGGTGGTTCGATTCTAAAGTCAATTCCAATTTTCACAGAAAAAACTGTTCCAAACTTTTCAAAACTTCTGAGACTTCTGAATCCTTTCCGAGGGGAGAGGAGAGGGAGGAAATTCATCAAGTCTGCTTTAAAACACTTCCCAGGATTCAGACAGAGGTGAGGGGAGAGAAGTGGGGGGGGGGGGGGAATCATCCAGTCCATTTTAAAAGCCTTCCCAGGATCCAGACAGAAGTGAGGGGAAGCAGGGAAACGCTGAATCACTTACGGCTTTGTAACAGAAATTGTGGAAAAAGCTTTGAAAGAGCAAAGGGACATCCAGTTTCCTTAAAAACTTCGAAATCGCTTCAAAAAGCAAATCTTTCTGAATATATTCCGAATTGTGAAGATTCTGACCGAACCTAACCATGCCTAATAGCTATGTTAGTCTGTATCACCATACAAAGTAATCATGTAGTACCTTTGAACTTGGAGAAAGAAGTTTATACACTTCAAAACAAGTATGTTTGTTATTTACTGAGGAGAGATATTCAAAATCAAATTAATTGGGAAAATTGTTTTATGCTTTTAGAAATGTATCTTTTGTCGACAAAGAATCAAGAAAGTATCTGGTGCCTGTATCCAGTGTTCCTACGGAAGATGTCCAGCATCTTTCCATGTTACATGTGCCCACGCTGCAGGAGTACTGATGGAACCAGATGATTGGCCATATGTTGTCTACATCACATGTTTCAGGCACAAGATCAGTCAAATCGTGGTAAGGATTTACCCTAATTTCTATTTTAATATCATTTCATTTTGAATGTTTAAAAGAATAAACAACACCTGACTCTCATTTCTAGACTGAAACCAATCAATACATACTTGCCGACCATGAATACTGCTGTCTGCATCCAATTCCTACTATGTAGAAAAACTACACAGATTGAATTGAAATATAGTTAATAATCGATCTATGTAAACCACGCATCTGTGTTAGTTTCTTAAAAGTGCTGATTTTGTCCATTCCGTGCCCCAGATATTTGGGAACTATTTAGTGCTAAGGGAGTTAGACTGTGGTCCTTAAGCAACTGAGAAGAAACATGCCTTTTACAACCCTTTCCTTATTCAAGAAAGCTTCAGAAGGAAGTTGAGGAGGAGAGCTGGGGAAGAGGAAGAGGAGGTGCTCTTGACCAGAGCAATCTGCACCAGAGGCTAGTGATTCTGGTATTCCAACACTGTTGTAAAGATACTTTCCCCATCAAATTGATGGTCTGTTAATTAGTTTTCATTAAATGCCTAAAGTTATAGAAATAACAATATATCAATTTTAGTTAACTAAAATTTTAGTTGACCCATGGCACAATAGGCTAAATTCTTGTCTTGGCAGGACTGCTGACCAATAGGTCAGTAATTCGAATCTGGAGAGAGCGGGGTGAGCTCCCTCTGTCGGTTCCAGTTCTCCATGCAGGGACACGAGAGAAGCCTCCCACAAGGATTGTAAAATATCAAACATCCAGGTATCCCCTGGGCACCGTCCTTGTAGACGGCCAATTATTTCGACCAGAAGCGATTTGCAGTTTCTCAAGTCTCTCCTGACATGAAAAAAAGTTAACATTTAACCTCCATAGGTCTTGCATTGAGAAACTCTACGATCTAATTTCTAATGTTATTGCCCATAGTTTATTTATTAGTGCGCAAGGGCTTTTTGTGAGTTCAAATTAAACTGATGTAGCTTATACAAAATAGTCTAAGCTTAGCAGTATGTTGACACTCTACACTGGTATAACTATGCCAGCATAAGAAATGGCAGTAGAAGGGAAAAAGCTATGGATTCATCAGCCATGAAAGAAGTAAGGCATTGGAGAAATAGGCTGTTCATTCAGCAGACCTGTCCGTCACCCAGATAATGAAAATAGTGTAGCTGTTAGTGTCGTGCACCAGTAAGATTCTGGCCAAAGCAAGACTTACACCATGAAATAAATTACGTGCAGGAGAAAGGCAGGATAATAAATCAGTAAATAAGTAAGCAAATGATCGGTTGTATAGAGGTGTGCCTTGGGTAAGCAGGGCCCAGCAGGATAAGATAGAATGACAAGCATTATATTTGAAGTAACATTTGTTCCATGTTTGTTTTTAAGAAATCAAAAGCCTTAGAAAAAGCTGTCTCAGTTGGGCAAACTGTGATAGCAAAACATAGGAATACACGATACTACAGCTGTCGAGTAAGAGAAGTCACATCACAAGTTTTCTATGAAGTCATGTTTGATGATGGGTCCTTCAGCCGAGATACCTTCCCTGAAGACATTGTGGTAAATATTTATTTTAAGAAACTGATTTTTAATTTTTCTATAAAAGTTAAATAAGTAAATTTGAAGTATTTCATCTGACCTTTCAGCAGTGATAATTAACTTAATATTCTGATCATGTTTGTTATTTCTTTCTGCAGAGAATTATTACTTTCTTGGGGGCTTCTCAACCTCGTTTGTTCTAATTAGTATCCACCATTTCACCAAATGAGTCAAAACCAATCTTACAAAGCCTTTTAATTAAATAAGAAATATGTTTTTAATAAAAGATATTAGAGTGGGAATTCCACATATTGTAATCTGTCTCTGAGAGGTAATATAACAAAATTCCTTGATGCATTAAAAAAAAACCTCTCTGTGTTCAAATGTGAAAGAAACAGAATGGTTTACATGAAGGTAGTATGATTTTTAGTTTGTTTACATTTCTGATTATGTGTCTTCTGATTTTCAGCCAGAATGGAAAACAGCATTATTTGTAGCAATTCACAACATACACTTGGTTTTACTGGTTTCTTGAAATGGCATTTTATTAAGGAAGTTAATAAGCATGTCCTATATTTATCCAGAGCATTATATAAATTTATTCTGAAATTCTGGGCATGATGCTCCCTTGTCATGCATGTTACGGAACCTGTATGCATTCTGATTTTGTGGCCAGTCCCTTTGCACTTTTCTACTCCTGAGAGTGTACAATCCTGGGCTGATAGTGGGCCGCCTGTCAAAATTCTTCAGGCTTCATTACATCAGTCAGACATTATCAAAGTATGGCAGAAATACGTTATTCTTCAGACTTTCTTTTTCTCTGTCCCTCACAACTAGAAAATAGAAAAAAGTTTCAGCGTTATCTCACTATCTTTTTCAGAAAGTTAAAAATCCAAAAAGATGCAAGAGAATAGAATTTGGACCGCTATACATCAGCCTGAAAGCCTACTACAGTGGCCCTTTGGTTTGGTTTGACTTGAAATCCCATTATATACAGTGGTGTAGTAAAATGGTATCCCTTATATAAAATGGTGAACAACTCAAATAAAAACTAGAAAGATCCTGAGAATCTGTGAAATAGTGGTATGCTACAGCTAGGTATTCAATTCATACACATCAAGATAGTGCTCAGCGTACAGCAAAATCAAGGTTTGCTTTTTGGACTTTTTCCCCTGAACATTTTCAAGCTATGATTGGTTGAATCTGTAAATGCAAAACCCATTGATATGAAAGCTTGATTGTATTAACCACGGGGGCTAGGATATACAAAAGGTATAGTACTTGTGTTGTCGAAGGCTTTCATGGCCAGAATCACTGGGTTGCTGTAAGTTTTTCGGGCTATATGGCCATGTTCCAGAAGCATTCTCTCCTGACGTTTCACCTGCATCTATGACAGGCATACCTCTGAGTATGCCTGCCATAGATGCAGGCGAAATGTCAGGAGATAATGCTTCTGGAACATGGCCATACTGCTCGAAAAACTTACAGCAACCCACCGATATAGCACTTGTTATTCACTCTGGGAAATGTCCACCCTGTTCATTCCAGAATTGTATATATAATTATATATATTATAATATAATTTCTGTACTTTGTGATATATGTTACATAATTGTACATCATTTCACAGTACATAAATTATGGTCACAGAATGTAAACCACATTTTAACATTTATTTTCTAAGTTGTTTTCCCACTTGGCCGTAAGGTTTTCACCAATTGTTAGGGAGCATTGCCAACAAGGATCGCCTCTTAGCCTACAAATTAATTGCTTTTTCCTCTCCCTCCTAACTTTTTTTGGCCAGTGTTTATATGTCATATTTTGGGAATCACTTTTTTTGCATTTTGAATAAGGATCTAAGATAAGAAACTTATTCATGGGTAGGTGTGGTGGCCAAACAGCAAAATAAAATCCCAAATCCACAAAATATCTTTAGCAGCCAGTAAGAATGCTTGTGTGTGTTTGGTTGACCAATAAAGGTATCTCTCTCTTGTGAACTTTGCATTTCATTTTATCTTAGATAAGTATCTAAGATAGTCAATTTGATATTTTTGAAGAAATATGAACTTTTTTTTGTATAAGATGCTCTAGGAGCTGTGATTCAAAGGAAGAAGAAAGTTACTAGCATAGGTTTTGAAACAGCCAGGTCAGTATTTTTAAGTTTTGACTCTTGTGCCAAAGAGGTGGCATTTTGTTCACCAGTTAGGATTAGCATCAAAATATTTAGTCATTTAAGGATAAGAATGCAATTGGCTAATGTTATGAGTTTCAACTTGGATAGTATGCTACATGCCTGAAGTAGCAAGCAATGATTTATGATGAGACCAGTGCACACTATGAAATATGCAATCAGAAATGAACACCTTCTCTATAACATATTAAGAAAGAGAAATTAGGATTGCCAGATTTTTAAAATAATGATAAGGAACGGACATTATTCTTAATGTACAACATTAGAAAGTGGCTATTAACAAAATATTCCATTATTCTTCCCTTCCTTATCGAACCTTGTGTGTACCGCCAACCCCAGGTAAATATAAATCTAGCTAAACATAGATTTGCCTTATGAAACTGATACATCTTTAAGGTGCACAGCAGCAAAACTGTTATTCCCTGGGAGGTGCTCTTTAGAATGAAGTTAACTGCATTTTTCAAGTTATAACCCTTTTGCCACTTTTCCAGCCTATGCAAGACTGACTGGTGAGACATCAGGCAGGGGACTCCTGTAGTATATCTAATCTTGTGAGAACCCCCATACCTTTGTGATGATAGATCAGCAGTCCACAAGATAAGGAAGAGTAATTGAGCAGGAAGAGGAGGTGCCAGGTATGCTCACATAGATGGAGTTCCTAAGATTGGTATGTCTTGTGAGGCCATTGCTATATATCAGATGCTGGGGAATCTTGTTTGTAGAGTGCATCTGGTGCCCATTCTTCATGCGCAGAGCTCATTTCAGTTACAGGATTTTGGGAATCCAACATAGCTTCAATATAGGACAACTTTTTGACCTCTAAATACAGGATTTCCCATATAAAACAGGATGCCTGGCAACTCTAATAGATATGCATGTTAATCTCTGTACTTGTTTTACATTTTTTCAGGAAGCAGAGTTGCCCTTGAAATGTTATTAGTGGAGATTATCCTGTTTCCTCTGCTAAGTCCTTACTTATAAAAGGTCTAATGCCTTTTTGGAAATGTAACACTCAAGAGTGGGGCATTTTCAAAGCAGTATGCGAGAGATTTAGCTGTTCACCTCCCACTGGTGATAAATAAAGGCATGCAGCTAAATTCCCACTATGACCCTTTGAAAAGCTACCCCTTTGGTTTAGGATATTATAAAATACATCATTAATGATTGAGGATGCCTTGTTTAAGGAATTTTGATATTAGACATATGGGACTGTATTCCTTACTAGAAACCGCTCATTTGTTTGCCCCTGTATCTGTGTTTGAGCTGTGGGAGAGAGGAGAAACTGCTTACCACCCAAGTTGCAGGGTGTGTGTGTGTGTGTGTGATTTGGAGCTAAGAAGAAATGTAATCAGGCCTGGATATGCCTCAGTGCTTCTCAGATAGTAGAGAAACAACATATAATTGTTTGAAGGGAACACCAAAGAACTTTCAGGTTCCTTAGAGAAATCTTTGTGTGTTTTCATTAGATAATATACCTGTAGCATCAGTAACTGGGGGGAATTTTTTTCAACTGCTTTCCTAATCCGTTCAATGTGCATATCTATGTGTTAGTGCCACTGGGAAGACTTATTCTTCGGGGTTTTTTGGGGTTTTTTTTTTTTTTTGCAAAAGCAATGTTGCTGCTTATTGAAGAAGCTATTCCTCTAATCTGTTTCCCCTGTTCAGTTAGCTCAAAAAGATAGCAAAAGCTTTATGTGTTCATGCCACTGCACAATTTCAGTTCAGTTTGCAATTGCATTTATGTAAGCAAGCCACCATTTCATGTTAGTACATATTTGGTTGATTGCAATGGTTCATAGAAATTACAGCCTTTCATTCAAACTTTGTATGTTCATTGTAAGCACACAAGCCTTGTTTTTGTTCTCAGTATGTATCTTAATGATTCTGTTACTGTCCGCTAAGTGCAATATTTAATTTTGTTAAGTAAACTATTAAGTCAATAGAGCTAATTTGTGCATGCTTATTTTTAGGAATCTGGTTATTATTCCATTCCAGCTATCTCTAGATACAATGAAATACAGCCCATCTCTTCTGTTAATATTGTTAAATACTTTCAACATGAGCGCAAGAAAGGTACATTTCTAAAATCTGGATACAGCATTTATGTGAAATCTGGATACAGCATTTACACCTTTAAGGAAATATTGCTGCTTCAGTTGTTGCTCTTGCTGAATGAAGTCTGAGTCCTGGAGAGGTCTAGGCAATTGGTTCATTGCCTCATTTGCCTTAATTGTAATTGGTGTTTTCAAGACCAATTTAAAGTGTTGGGTGGGAGAAACGTGGTTTACTGTCCAGGTGCAACATCCTAATGCTGCTTTTGTGGCTTTCATGCTTTCCCCTAGACCTGTGGTTCTCAACCTGGGGTCCCCAGATGTTTTTGGCCTACAAGTCCCAGGAATCCCAGCCAGTTTACCAGCTGTTAGGAGTTCTGGGAGTTGAAGGCCAGAAACATCTGGGAACCCCAGGTTGAGAACCACTGCCCTAGACCTCTTGAGGCCTTTTAAAAAATATTGGCAAAAAGGTTTGGTTTCCGCTCTCCTGGGAATGACACTTTTACCTTAGAGCAAGGCATATGATGATACCCAGTGCTATTATGCTTTTCTAGCTAATTCCAAGGATGCTGTTCCTTTTCTAAACCGGTGCCTACAGCTGTAATGTACTGGATGATGGCAAACAATTTGAAGCTTAATCCAAACAAGACAGAGGTGCTCTTGATCAGTTGAAAGGCAGCTCTGGGAATAGGGATTTAGCCTGTGTTAGATGGGGTTACATTGCCCCTAAAAATGCAGCTTTGCAGTTTGGTGATACTCTTGTATTCAACTCTGACCGT